AGTCATCGCATCAAGTGCTGCGTCATCCCCGACGACATACCTGATCTCCTCCCACCAATCTCGTGCCCTGTCCATCAGAAGACAGGATGCTAATCTGACCTTGTCCCCATCAGGACATCTTCTGGTGTGGAATGCGTTGGCGACATCTTCCAACCACCTAGTACTCGCTATGGGGTCCCGCGCCCCATGATAGTCAGGAGCTCCACAGGTTATGAACTCCCTGAAAGTGAGCGTGCGCGACCCCATCATGGTCGCCACCTCAGCACGAAAGGTGCTCAACCTCTCATCCATCAGCTCCAAAATACCCTCCTTGATCGAACCAAAGATCACAGGAGTCTGCTCAAGTATGATGCGAGTAATCTCTGAAGAGAGAAACTCCCTAGTCTGCTCATCCAAATGCTCGGCCCCCGAGCCTGATCCTGATCCCTCACCGGCACCTGAACTGCCGACTGCTGGTCTAGGGCGTAAAACCACCATTCTGAAACACATAGCGACAAACGTCATAAATATTGATATATCTCGAGGGATCACTATTACTGCAAGTTTCCTGGTCTCGCCTTGGCCTTCCTTGATTCAAGTACGGATCCTCTGATTTTAGTAGTACGGGCCCATACTACCTTCCACATCTATCTGTACTTTCCTCAAGAACAGCCTCGACTCCACCAAGTCACTACTACTGCTACTGATCTCTGCTACTCTCATCCTAGGCTTGCCCTAGGGAAATCTCTGACTCAACCAAAACCAGTCCTCAGCTGCTGAAGGCCTCCTTGTAATGCCAATTAGTCATTACCTGAATACCATCACATGTGACGAGACTCAGATAATCCTTCGAGTAAAAGACTCGTCCCTACAACGGTTAGACTCAAACAAGAGCTGCGCAATAGGGCCAAATCCAGCACTCTGAGATTATTCGACCCTGATCACATGTGATGTGACGTATTCACCTAATGGCTAACTCCCATCACTCAGAGTCCCACAAAGCACAAAGCAAGCAACATTCAGACACAGGAAACTACTCAAGCATATCTATCTTCATAACGAGAAACTGTACTAGCATACAATGTTAAGCTCATACTATCAGGCATAACCCTAACAGGCTATCCTATTACTGTCTACTCAATACAAAGCTGAAGCACATAAAGCAAGCACATAAGGCATCCTCCTAGATCCTTAGTCCTATTCTAGCCTGCTGTTCTACTGAAACTGAAACAGATAATCATAATATAAATTTGTATGGGTAATTTGGGAGTGCTTACTTGAGCTCGGCTGAATGCATGCACCACACCTTTTTTTTCTCCTTTCAAAGTTCTTTTCTTTTTAAGTTTCTTTATCAAAAAAAAAAAATTCGAAAATGTTTTTCTTTTGAAAACCTTTTACCATTTCCTTAGTTTGAGTTCAGACACACCCGAAAGTGTATCCGAATCCCTCAAACCAAGGCTCCGATACCAACTTGAAACATCCCAAAAATACGACCCAAAAATTTTTGTTTTAATATCACTAAAAATCACAACATCGAGTGTCATATATAATAAGAACCATGGAATGAGTAACTCAAAAGTCACAGTAACTGTGTCAAAACAAAACTGTATCAATCATATCAAAATATATGAATAAAACTCCCAGGATACAACTGAAGCTGTGGTGTGTGCGATGCCATCAACCCGAGCTCTTCCCTTTGCTAGCGGAAGTACCTGAAACCAAAACTGAAACTGTAAGCACAAAGCTTAGTGAGCTCCCCCAAAATACCACATACCATACAATAACATATAGAACACACACTAGGTCTTGCCCACTGCATCGGACCAAAGTCCGGAAACTGCATCGGACCGAAGTCCGGAAACTAGCCAGGGCCTTGCCCTCTGCATCGGAACGAAGTCCGGAAACTGCATCGGACCGAAGTCCGGAACTAACCAGGGACTTTCCCTCTGCATCGGACCGAAGTCCAGAAACTGACTGAACATAGCATAGCATAAACATACCAACTAACATGAAATACATATAATGCATACTGCATCGGACCAGAGTCCGGAACACATAACACAAAACATGCTTGAATCACAAAGACATCAAGCGCTCTAACTTCTGCATCGGACCGAGGTCCGGAACTACTGCTAACTAAACGGGCCGGCATTGTGGCCGTAGACCCGTTCCTACTGGAAGGAAAACTTACCTCGCAACGCTGGCTGCCGAGATGCTAGATATGAAACTGCCTGACTGCTGCTCCGGAACTCCCCGGCTACAAATCCCATAAACACTAAATCAAATATTGATAACAAATCACAGGGTAAAATGACTATTTACCCCTGGACAGGTCAACTTCCAAGACAAAGTCAACTTTCAGTTGACCAGACTCGCCGAGTTGGACCGCCAACTCGCCGAGTCCCCATCAACCATTCTAATCCTCTACTCGCTTCTACTCGTCGAGTTTGGCAAAGACTCGACGGGTTCTTCTTCGATACTAACATCGAGTCTAATCTTCATCCGACTCGCCGAGTTGTATGAACAACTCGTAGAGTTCCCTTGAACAGAAGAACACACCCAGTCTTTGACTCGCCGAGTCGTATGAACAACTCGTCGAGTCCGACTGCTTCCAGATTCAAGTCTTAACTCACTGAGTCCTTACTCTACTCACTGATTCAACCTAAACTCTCAAATCGGGGGAAAACCAAGGACTCGCGACTCGACTCGCCGAGTCTGAAGAACAACTCGTCGAGTCCCAAGCATGCCAAACTATACAGTCGATTTTTCTCAATTCCAATGCATCCAATTCATAGATCTGGGGTCCTAGGACTGATTTCACACGTAAAGTTTCTAACTTTACGTTCATGCATGTTCATGATAAGCTAAAATGCCCAATAAGGAGCTAAAAGAGGAGATCTAGGTTTGGAATGGGTGCTTAGCTCAATAAAGGTGGCAACCTTGAGCTTAAGGAGTCCTGAAGTGCTTAGATCTGAAACCTATTCGTCTTAACTACCCATAAATCGACCTCAAAGTCTTGAAAAGGCTCAAAAGCAAGACTAGCAAGCTTTTATGGAGATCTACATGATGACAAGCAAAGATTCGAGCTTTATACCTTGATGGAAGCTGGAAAGACACACTAAACTCAGATCTTCTTTGCTCCACTTGAGAACCCCTCTTCTCTCTTCTTCTTCTAACTTCAAAATGCACCAAAATCCTCCACAAAATGAGAAATACTCTAAGAATGCTTAAAGGGAGGCTAGGGTTTAGTAAGGGACGTTCTGAGGGTGATGGAAGCTGGTTTGAGGCGCATAATGATGTTTAAATAGGGTGCAAACCCTTGAAATTAGGGTTTCATTCAGACTGGTAGACTTGCCGAGTCCGAGAATATGGACTCGTCGAGTTGCCAACTTAAACCGCGTGCAAATCCCGTCTCTACTCGACGATTCGGGCTACCGACTCGTCGAGTACCCCTTAAGAAATGAAAATTACTTTATTTAAATCACATACTAGAAATGGGGCGTTACATCGTTGCGGGGCAGACGCAGCGGGAACCGGATTCGGTTTAAGGGGTGTGGATTGTTTTTGAGCGCGAGTTGAAGCATCTCAACAGCAGCCCCAATTTCTCCTGATCAGACTTGTTCTAAGGTAGAGAGAGACTAACCGGAGGCACAGAATAAACGAACGGGAAGACATTATAGCGGGTGGCTTTGATTCGGTTCATTTTGCGGGTGACGGAAAACGGAAAAGATGGTCGTGACCGACGTAGAAGTCGGGTGTCCGGAAAAGTCGAGAATCGAGATGGTTCGAAAAGAATGTGATTTTTCAGAATGTGACGACAACGACGAGCCCGTATTTTAAATACGGATTGGGGTTGAAGAATTCTCTAGGACTTAGAGATTCGGGGGTGATTGTTGGAATCCTAAGTCGATGAGGACTTGGAGACCAATCAATCTAATTTATGGAAAGTTTAGTTTATGGCAAGTTGATCATAAGTTTCTAGTCTATATATAAAAGTTGGTATGTTAGGCTATATATACATGTCTATAATCGAGTTTATGATTATGAGAACAGATTGTAAAACATCGGTTTTGAGTTAGTTTCCGATTAATCAAAGAGTTATTTTGGTTATTTTGTTTTGCATTCTTGTTTTTCTAAACTTTAGCCACACACACACACACACACACACACACACACACACACATATATATATATATATATATATATATATATATATATATATATATATATATATATATATATATATATATATTCCTCCGTGTGTTAACTGCATAAATGTCATAATTGTGTGTTTGTATTTGATATTAACCCTTTCCTTATTTCTAACTTTAATTGCCTTGAACATTATGATTTCAGTCAGGATTCATGGAAAACAAAGGTTCTTCTACATATGATTATACTTCAATGAAGAGCACAAATAAAAAATGAGGCTTTTGGGGCGTTATAGTATGGAAAGCTAAATCCATTTTTGATAATGCATGCCCTAAACAATCAAATGCTCATAGCAGTGCGAAGCCATAAGAAGTTAGTTTCTCAACAAGTGACCAGGTGAATATCAATTTTTGCATTTCTTATTAGCTTTCTGTAGTTTCATTATTTGTTGATTAAGGTATACCACATTATCAATTAGTATAAATACTTCATATAGCAGTAAGTAAGATAGAATGTTGGTTTGAAATTCGTAGTAGTTCAATGGTATTCAATTTGAGCTTTCGAAGAAAAATGGAGGGTGCTCCAAGATTAGAGATGCAGGGTTTGGATAGAGTCACATCTTGTCCCTTTAATCAAATTGGTGAGACCATTTGGAATGCTTTGGAGGTAAATTTTTTCGATTGAAGTTACAAATCCTTATTTTTAATTATAAGTAATCATGATTTGTGTTATTAGATATCAAAGTAACTTGGTTTTGTTACATTAGGAAAAAACATGAGAGAAGAAAAGTGAAGATATGATCATGAAAAACAAAAGAAGTAGGGTAAAGAGTTGAAGGAAAACTCATGAGAGACAAGAAAAGTGAAGATATGATCACATCTTCTCTCCTTAATTCCCAGTTTCTCAAGATGCAATTAATTTCAAATGACAATCCCAGAGAAGGCTCTTCAGAAACAAAAACCATCTTAAATGAATCTAGAAGTGATGAGGGATTTGACAACCATTCATCTACATTTGAAATAAGAACTGAAGGTATAGCTGTTGAAGATTCAGAAAGTTCTGATGCCAATGAAACTACTAATATGGTTACTTCAGATCAACCACAATACCGATATGCCTTGATACAGAAGGTCTGTAACTCTGTCTTCTTCAGAAAGCTTCAGAGTTGTGTTGTAAACAATTTTATGGATGTGAATCATGTGATTAAGAAGATTCATATCCTCTTTAACTAATTCACAGGAAAATATTTGATTGCACCATGTTATTGAAGAGGCCCTTATAAATATGTCCACATGTCATGTCTAGACAATTGGAGGTTAACCAGGGTAAGTTCAAAAATATGTTATATCAATAACTTGATTCTATTGATGTACAATTGTTGATGTGTGTCTACAATTGTTGCAGGAAGGGGTTGCTTTCTCTCATTACACATAATGTAGAGCAGTGTTTATACTACGTGTAAAAGTCTCCATTTTTGTCATTGTTCAACTGGTATGCATTATACAACTCATTTATCTTATCTACTATATTGTTGTTAAATTTTATTTTCTTGATCACTTGCGATGATAATATAACAATTTTGTTTGGACACTTTGAACAAATTGTGGCGTTCTTAGGTGTTCTGGTGTACAAATTGTGACGTTCTTAGGTGTGCTGGTGTACAAATTTTATGGAGATGAACTCAAAGAAATGTTTGGATATGAAGTGAACCCATATGGGTTTTATACAATGGCTGGTAACTTCAATTCTATCTCTTTGTTGGTTTTATATTTTGGGGAAATTAATTTTTAGGCTTTATATTGATTATTTACTTTCAAATTCTATAATTACAGTGTTAGCAATTGTTTTTGGTGGGATTGTAGTATGGTTTCTTTATAGCTATAATACGTGGACAATGAATCAATGAAAACTACTATCACATTCTTGCCAAACAAGAACTCAAAAATGTTATATATTATTAATTATGATTGATTTTTTGTATTTGTTGACTTTTTATTGACGAAAGTTGGTATAATAGGCATGGTTGTCAAAATCGCGATTCTGATCGTAGGATCTTAGGATCCTACGATCCTAGATATGAAAAACGATCCGGATCGTAAACGTATCGTATTTAAGGTAGGATCGCAAGTAGGATCGTAAGATCGTAGGATCGGGATCCGATCCGATCCTACCTTTCCTTGACTTTTTTTTTTTTTTTTTTTTTTGCAAATGAAATCATTTTACCACTTTATGTCTTTTACCCGTTTACCAAGTTACCGTTTATCATTTTATGTTGTGATTTATGACTAATATTTTGAAGTTTTTATAACTTTTGAACAAAAAATTGAATGTTTAAAATATTTTTCATGTATTAAAATTATAAATTAAAATTATGTTTCATTTTGTAGGATCTTAGGATCCCGATCCCGATCTTGCAAACCCAAAAACGATCCTATGTAGGATCCCGATCTTGACAACCTTGATAATAGGAATACATTGTAGAAGACAGAGAAGTGAACAAGGGTCTTACTGAACTTGACCCAGCCATGTTACAACCATGTTACAGAGCTAAGAATGTTGGGTCTCTATTGAACATATTTGTATATTCATATATTGAGAAAGATTATGATTATGTTAGTTTTTGTTGTAGATTTATTTTCAAACAACACATAATCATTGATTAATTCATCTTTGTTTGGTGTGGAGGCTCGTCTATACCCAATTTCACTTGCCTTCAAAATTTTAAAATTAAACCTCACAAATAACAATTACAGCCGTTTATTTATTTTTGAAATGTTTTTGAATCTCATGTGTATTTACACGCTCAAAATGTGCCACAATTTTTTTTTGTATTGTGGCGAATAAAAAATGCCACCAAAAATCTTAAAACATGTAACTAAAAATAGCATAAATTCTTGAATCAAATGAGCATTAGTGGCACAAAATATGTGACACGAAAAACTTTTCTTCTACCGTGACAAATAAAAAAGTGTCACGAAAAGCCTAAAAATTAATTTGCAGCGGCAAAAACAAAAAGTGTCACTAGACAGTTTTAGTGGGAACGTTTCTTGTGACATTTATTATGTGTGCCGCACAATCTCTAAGAAACCTTTAGTGTCATTTTTTTGGGTTTTTAGTGGCATTTTGTATACACTAAATGACATATTTTTTGTAGTCTTCACAGGGTGTGATGAATGTCATTATATTATATGGCATGAAAGAGTGTATAGAAATAGTAGTTATTTGGATGGAAATTAGAAATCAATATAGAAATAGTGTATCAAAAGATAAGATTTATTGGTTCCCTGGGGGTTAAGACTTAAGTGGCCTAACATCCCCAAAATGGCTCACAAGTCACACACAGTGCCCTACAACTACGTACAAAGATACAATGAAACAGCAAAACTTGAAGAAAATTAAAATGGGTCCAAGATCAATCAAAATACAAGAAGACATTACAAAATTGAATGATCAGCTGGTCACTGGTCACATGATTGTGCAAGCGCAATCTGGATAATCATCTTTCTGAGGAGTGGTATAGTGATCAGCATAGGGCCACCCATTGACAGGATACCCATTATACGGCGTAGAAATTGGTGGAGCCGATGGGTTGGTAGACGTTGGTGGCAATGTCAGTGGTACAAAACCCGAAACGTCTACTGCTGCTGCAACGTTGGAGATCATCGATGGATTCTCATAGTAGTCGACCCTCAAAACATCTTGTCTGCACTCCACTCTTCGTACTCTTCCAGCTTCAGGTAACTTCATCAACATTCCCGTCATATCTCTAAAATCAACAGTACTACTCCCAGCGTCACGATTCACATTCACTCCAGACGAATGATTATTTGATAACCAAATAATTGATTCATTTTGAAATTTTTGCTCAAGTTCAGCCCTGATTGCTTCAGGTTCATGGCGCTTTGATGAGATGATGAGTATACCTTTCTCGGGGTCCATTCCAATCAATTTGAGACCACCAATTTGACGAACTGCCCTTCTGACCTTGCTTATGCATTCATCACAGTTCTCGAATGGTGTGATTTGAAACACACTTGTTGACGTCGCCATCTTGATTTGATGAATGAATATTGCTGATCACAAATTCTACCAAAACATATGCCAAATGATTGTGTTAGATAATAAAACAGTTTTTTTTTTTTTTTCCAGGAGTACACACACATACACACACGTTTGCGCACACACAGCCCATGACAGCGTGAAGTTCATTTACCTTCCCATCAATTCGGATCCAAAACTTACCTTACTCTTCTTAAAGGCGAGATCAAACAAGCATGCACATATTACAAACATATTCACGACAAAAAAAAAGATACATGAATTATTTAAAGATTCATAATTAAACTTGGCGTTGAAGAATAGTTAAATGAAAAGAGATTAAAAAAAAAGCATGGTCAACCCTTCTCAGCTAATCAAGTTCAATTCCTGCATCATAAAAAAGTAAACCCACGTCAGAATTCACGAAAAACCGGAACACGCAACAATTTAAATTGATAAACAAAAACTCTACAATTTGGTTCAAGCATATGGTTTCCTTAATATATATTCCAAAAAAAAGTAATTTGATGTTAACAAGGCAACAAGCAAGACACAAGATTACTGAATTCGTCTCTTAAGCAAACCACTTGTAAGTAACTTCACCAAAATTCCAAAAAAAATCACATAGAAATTTGAGAGATTTCAGGACATACACAAAAACCATTGGTTGGTTTTCTTCTAACAATATACATACTGTAGATAAGTCTAGTACAGACTACCATGCACTTGATATTAAGAATATCAGCTAGAGAGCAATTCGAAATAAAAAATGAGTTCTAGCCTTCACTCACCATTTAAAAGTTGTTCATAGCACAATAAAACTAAAACAGCAATCAGATCTATAATAAAATTTAAACAGCTAGCAATCAGATCTACAGTGAAATTAAAACAGCAATCAGATCTAAACCCAGCCCATGCATGTACATATATACACATATATATACAATTTCAAGACATACAGATAGATCCGTACCTTCGGGTTCCTTGGGGTTGCTTCTAATCAAGGCAGAGATGGGAAAAAGAAAGATAATTGTGGTGAGGTGAGAGTGTGAGACACATTTGGTGGGTGGGGTGTTGGGGTTATATATATAGGCGAATGAAATGACTTGGTCCCAAAGCTGATAATTTAAAAACAATTACTGGGAGCCGTACGTAACGTAGGTGGTATTTTGTAGGGGTTGGTGGATCCATGGATCACGATTACAAGATTTTATTAATTGATCAGTTTTTTTTTTTTTTTTTTTTTTTTGAACGGCCATTAAATATAAAAAAGAAAACAAGACTCGAATTAGTGAATTACAAACATGCAGCTATCTAGCCCATGATTCTTCTTGTGGGTTACAGCGCCAGTCTAACCAAGCCAATTTTTTGAAGTTGTTTTTCCTCCTAGCATCAAACCACGTATGCGACACTAGCTGAATCTCCAAAGCGTCCTTTTTATGGAGAACATGCATGCTTGATTGCTAAAGCTTTGTCCCAAGCAATCCATGCAGGCTTTCGTTTATCTTGTGTCCCACCTTAAAAGAAAACACTCCAGTTAGTTAATAATCATTAATAAATAATTTCTAATAATATTATAAAAACTTCTTAGGCCATCGAATTCATATGAATTCAATGGATTAATACATTTACATTCCACTAACTATATGTGTGTGAGAGAGAGAGTAGAGATAGTGTAGAGTTCAATGGGGATTGAACTGATCTTTCTATTAAGTGTCATGTCAACCCACAATATAGAGATTTTGAGTTTAATGAGATTCAATCACCATTAAACTCCTCATTCACTACTAGAAAACTGGTGCAATAGCTACAGCACAATCCGTAGCTATTCCGTAGCTATTAGCGGATAGCTACGGAATTGCTACGGAAAAATGTCTGTAGCATAATGGCCCGTGGAAAAATTATAGCTACGGATTAGCTACGGAATAGCTATGGAATAGCTACGGAGTTTTCCGTAGCTACCATAGCTACGGAATAACTACGGAAATAAATAGCTACGGATTTCCTACGGAATAGCTACAGAAGTCAATAGCTACGGAAATAAATAGCTACGGAATAGCTACGGAAATAAATAGCTACGGAAATTTGTAGCTATTCCGTAGCTAATTTCGTTTTATTTTTAAAAAAAAATAATTTAAAATTTTCCAATTTTTTATCAAATACCATATCACTACTAGAAAATTAAGGCTTTAGCTACGGCACAATCCGTAGGTATTCCGTAGGTATACGGTAATAACTACGGAATTGCTACGGAAAATGGACTGTAGCATAAACGTCCGTGGGAAAATAATACCTACGGATTTGCGACGGATTACCTACGGCTTTTTCCGTAGGTATAATAGCTACGGAATAGCTACGGTAATAAACAGCTACGGATTTCCTACGGATTACCAACGGGATTCAAGTTCGACTTTTTCCTACGGAATAGCTACGGAAATAAATAGCTATGGATTTCCTACGGATTACCAACGGGAGTCAATTTGACTAAAATTGACTTTTTTCCTACGGAATACCTACGGACCTATTTAGCGACGAATATTTCCATCAAAAATCTGTCATTAAGTTAGTATATATATATATATATATATATATATATATATATATATATATAATATATATATAATTTTCTGCTAAAAATGCACAAAAAAAACCCAATACATTAAATTTATAATAAAATTCTTATTCAACCACAAAACTAATAAACATTACAATAGACATTGTCGGTTACAGCATTGTACTTTGTATTTACTCAATTTATTTCATAAAAGTAATTTAAATACAAACAAATACAATTCATACACATACAATACACTTGAATGCATTATCCTACTTTGTACAAGATATTACTAGTACTTAATTTACATAAAAAAAAAATTCATACAAATGGATGTCCACTTACATGAGCAAATCCATTCAGAAGTATAACTTTTTATAGCCCTTAAACCCTTGGATGAAGATCTGTAATAAAATCCCAAATTTAATACATGAGTTAATTATAAACTAAAAAAAACGGAAAAAACAAAAAATTGTATACATAAGTGTAACCGCCTAAAACACAACAAATGGAATTAATAATGAAATAAAAAGATATTTGCATTGAACCTTCAATATTGACAATCACAATTTTAGTAATGTAATTTCTCTTTATCAATAGACTTTAACTAAACATATTGCTTCAATTCTCATATAACAAAATGACTATGATCATCTAGTCCTTGTAACAATCTTTCAACTCTATTCTGATAATTATTTATGCTCCATGAAGCTTCATAAACAAGTTTGCCAATTTTACCCTTTTTGTCCAATTTTAATAGTTTACTCCAATTTCATGCATTAATGTGTTTAAAACCATGTCATATAGTTAAATAATATGCAAAGAGTGTTCAAAACATGTATAAAACTTCAAGGCATATTTTAAACCATTTTTTGGTGTGATCCCTTTTGACATTTTTCTCATTCAGGCATCCTACTTGCCTGAATGTGTTTTCTTTAAGTTCTAGAGTGAAATTTCATGAATCTTTCATGCCAACCTGTTTTTAAGAAGAACGAATGCTTAGGTTGTCAAACACCTTTGAAATTAGTCATCTTATACAAATTTTGACAATCTACTTTCAACAAAGTTTCTAAAAATAACAAGTTATATAGTTCATGAAGATAATAGCAACATATTTGTGTTTTTACATAAATTTCAAGCTTCTAATAATGCTCATGATTACCATTAGATGCTATTTTACTCTAAATCCAGGTTTGACCAAAACAGAAAAGTCAATGTTACTATCATTCATCATCTTCAACCTCAAGAAACTAGAATCGATTCATGTATTGAGGTTTCTAATGTCCTCAAAAGCTTCCATCCATAAACAATTTTAGGATTTATCAACCAATTTCAACATGAAATCAACAATTCCAAACGAATTTGCTACGGATTTTTCTTATTTTTGATTTTTTGGGCACCAAACGCCGTTTTTCGCTCCGTTTTTTTCACACCTCTATTATACATGATTATCTATATTTTCACAAATTTATAGCTATTAATATCATTTATAAAGCCGTGTGCACATACGGGATCCATTGCTCGTTTAGTGGTTTAACACTATAATGCTTATGAATACGTTCACATACATCTCACAAACACATATAAATACACATACACGTACACATATACCACAACTCATTCATGTATATAAATATACATATACAAACATAATCCATCAGAAGTTGGTGAAAAGTATAGGCATTACAATGTTAAACTGTGAAACGAGTACTTGATCCCGAAGGGGCACACGACTTTATGAACGATATTAATAGCTATAGGTTGGTGAAAAAATAGATAATCATGTATAGTAGAGGTGTGAAAAAAACGAAGCGAAAAAAACGACGTTTGGTGCCCGAAAAATCAAAAATAAGAAAAATTCGTAGCTAATCCGTAGCTACTTAGCTCCGGATTAGCTACGGAATTCTAACGGAAAGCATACTCCGTAGCTAATCCGTAGGTAAATAGTATCTGTAGGTATCCCGTAGCCATTCCGTAGCTAATTAGCTACGGAATAGCTACGGATTAGCATCTGTAGCTATTCCGTAGCTAATTAGCTACAGAATAGCTACGGACTGACGTCCGTAGCTATTCCGTAGCTATTCTGTAGCTATTCCGTTACTAAATTAGGGCATCCCATTCTGTAGCTGATCCGTAGCTAATTAGCTACGGAAATTTTCCGTAGGAAAACCCCATGTTTTCTAGTAGTGTATTCAATCAAATTGTAAATCATAACAGCAAAAGCAGCAACATCGAAAAATAGCAACAACAATCAGCAGCACTAAAAACAACAAACAACAACAGCAAAAACAGCAACAACAATTACTTATTCCCTCGTAAGAGATCTTCCATATTGCGATTGATTTCTGAAATGAAATTAAGCATCAAAAGTGAAATTAGAATAATAAATATTATACAGGAAACATAAAATAAAATAATAAATAATGAAATTAAGCATAAAAATGCAGTTAGCATTTGGTAATAAAAAACTATTTGATATTGTGGCAAACTGGTGAAAACAAACCAGAAGAGAGCCACTCATAAACAATGCAGTTAGCAAAATGCATCAATATATGAAGTAATAGATGAAAAAAAATGCATGAACAGATGAAGTAACAGATGAAAGACCCAAAGTTCATCAATGCTCAAGAACTAAAATCTTTGTACCTGAGGTTGTTTACCAGCTCCTAGAAGTGCAAGTTACATCAATTTCGTCTCCTTCTTCACCAAATTTGTTATGCTAGCTAACAGGGAACAAAATGAAACAAACCACAACCAACATCAGTATAAATAAATGCAGATGACATAAATAAAGAGTTCAGTGGTCTAATTTGCAAAAAAAAATTATTAATTTAAAAAAAATACTTTTTTTAGTTTTAATTCAATTAAAGAACAAAATAAATGACCAAATAAAGCAGAAATGGAGCAACATAATTCAAAAGTAATACATTATTTGACCAATAACATTATAGTACATAAAAATTAAAAATAAAAATATCAAATAAAATCAGCCAAAAAAGTCACAATCTCATAAAAGTGCAAGAGTTATCATAAAACAGATTGATAAAACAATGATAATCATATATGATTTCAGTTGAAGAGTTATCATAACACAGATTGATAACTCTAATGATAAAAAAGTCACACTCTCTTAAACAGATTTATCATAACACAGATTGATAAAAAAAAAGTCACAACCTCTTAAAGAGTTATCCATTGAAATCATGAGAAACAGCAATTAACTAATAATAGCCCATGGATCTTGATAAAACAATGATAACCAATATGACCAATATGATTTCTTAACCAAGTAAGATTCATAAAATCGACCCTTGAATAAAAAAACATACCTGGATTCGAGAGGCAGACAGATGGAGAGGAAAAGAACGTGAGCTGGTTCGATTACAATACCTGCAATAATCGACATTTTCAGAATACATTGTGAATCAAAACCTCATGACAATGAACCAGTAAAGGACAACAATTCTAACCAGTCCAAGTAATTACAAGAATACGGTAGGAAGAAATACTAACCTTGAGATAATTTCAATCGATAACAGCTTAAAAAAAATGGACAAGATTGTTACAAGGGAACCCTGTCTTACCGATTATAGACAACTACAATACACACAACAAGAAATACTATCAGGTGAACGATTGAGCCGAATTATAAAAAAAGATATTACATAACAGATGAATCTTACCGATTGGTGGTTGCTGAGGCGGCAGGCGGTGAAGGTCGTGAAGGGAGGAGACCGGCGGTGAAGGTCGTCAAGCGAATCGCCCGATGAGAGAGACAACGATTGAAGGAATCCGGCGGAGCAAGCTTCATCTACATCGGCTGGAAAGTGAAGAACGGAGGATCGAAGCAGCGGCCGTCAAGCGAATACAACGATGGAATGAATCCGGCGGAGCAAGCTTCATCTTCATCGGCTGGAAAGTGAAGAACGGAGGATCGAAGCAGCGGGCAAAAAGGTAGGAGGCGGGAGTGGGTGCGATTCAATGAAAGAGAAGGGGGAAAGTGAAAATGAGATAGAGGGAAACCTAATTTTGGGGAGTTAGAATTTTTCATTTGAGGGGGGAAGCTGATACGGGCTAAAAAACAAAAGCGGTTGTAGGAGGATTCGAACCAGAATTCCCTGGGGATAATACCAACAGCTTACCGAAAGGCAAGGGATGCCACTACTATGTATTTTTGGTCTATTATACATTTTATACATGTTTCAAAAAAATTAAAAAAAAAAATGCTTGGAAAACGATTCGAACTCAGATCAAAACCACACTTGACCAAACAATTTACCACTCGGAAGGGAATGCCAAATCAAAATATGTTGTGCCTTCAATTAATTTTAAACACTTCCTGATTATTATTATTATTATTATTATTCGAGTATAAAAACTTTTTTTTGGATCATTTTTTACATAATATTATTATTATTATTATTATTATTATTATTATTCCTATTATTATAATTTCCATATTATAATTATTGTTACTCTCATTATTATTATTTTTCATTATTCGAGTGATGGTGATGGTGATGTTGATGGTGATGGTGATGGTGATGGTGGTGGTGGTGATGGTGATGGTGATGGTGATGGTGATGGTGATGGTGATGGTGATGGTGATGGTGATGGTGTGATGGTGTGATGATGATGATGATGGTGATGGTGATGGTGATGGTGATGGTGACGGTGACGGTGACGGTGATGGTGATGGTGATGGTGATGGTGATGGTGATGGTAATGGTGATGGTGATGATGGTCATGGTGATGGTGATGGTGATGGTGATGGTGATGGTGATGGTGATGGTGATGGTGATGGTGATGATGGTGATGGTGATGGTGATGGTGATGGTGATGGTGATGGTGATGGTGATGGTGATGGTGATGGTGTGATGGTGATAGTGATGGTGATGGTGATGGTGATGGTGATGGTGATGGTGATGGTGATGGTAATGGTGGTGGTGGTGATGGTGGTGGTGGTGGTGATGGTGATCGTGATCGTGATGGTGATGGTGATGATTATGATGATGGTGATGTTGATGTTGATGTTGATGGTGATGGTGATGGTGATGGTGTGATGGTGATGATGATGGTGATGGTGATGGTGATGGTGATGTTGATGTTGATGGTGATGGTGATGGTGATGATGATGATGGTGATGGTGATGGTGATGGTGGTGATGGTGATGGTGATGGTGATGGTGATGGTGATGGTGTGATGGTGCTGCTGCTGGTGATGGTGATGTTGCTGGTGATGGTGCTCGTGATGGTGCTGGTGATGGTGATGGTGCTGGTGATGGTGATGGTGATGGTGGTGATGGTGCTGGTGCTGGTCTGGTGGTGGTGGTGCTGGTGATGGTGGTGGTGGTGCTGGTGGTGGTGGTGGTGCTGGTGCGGTTCTGGTGCTGGTGCTGGTGCTGGTGCTGTGCTGGTGCTGATTCTGGTTATGGTGATGATTCTGCTGCATGGTGCTGGTGATGTTGCTGTTGCTGGTGCTGGTGCTGGCTGGTGCTGGTGCTGCTTCTGGTTCTGGTGCTGCTTCTGCTGGGTGCTGGTGCTGTTGATGTGCTGTGGGCTGGTGCTGGTGATGGTGATGGTGTGATGGTGATGATGATGGTGACGGTGATGGTGACGGTGATGTTGATGGTGATGGTGATGGTGATGGTGATGGTGATGGTGATGGTGATGGTGCTGGTGATGGTGGTGGTGGTGGTGGTGGTGATGATGATGGTGGTGGTGGTGGTGGTGGTGGTGACGGTGACGGTGACGGTGACGGTGATTATGAGGGTAAGGGTGATGGTGAGGGATGATGCTGAGGTGATGGTGGTGGTGGTGGTGTTGGTGGTGGTGGTGGTGTTGGTGATGGTAATGGTGGTGGTGGTGGTGGTGGTAGTGGTGGTGGTGGTGGTGGTGCAGGTGATGGTGGTGGTGGAAAGCATAGGCATTACAATGTTAAACAGTGAAAGGAGTACGTGATCCCGAAGGGGCACACGACTTTATGAACGATATTAATAGTTATAGGTTGGTGAATCTAGATAATATGTATAGTAGAGGTGTTAAAAAAACGGAGCGAAAAAAACGACGTTTGGTGCCCGAAACATCTAAAATAAGAAAAATCCGTAGCTAATCTGTAGCTAATTAGCTACGGATTAGCTACGGATTTTTCTTATTTTTGATTTTCGGGCGCCAAACGTCGTTTTTTTCGCTTCGTTTTTTTCACACCTCTAGTATACATGATTATTTATATTTTCACCAATTTATAGCTATTAATATCATTTATAAAGCCGTGTTCACATACGAGATCCATTGCTCGTTTAGTGGTTTAACACTATAATGCTTATGAATACGTTCACATACATCTCACAAACACTTATACATACACATATACCACAACTCATTCATGTATATAAATATACATATACAAACATAATCCATCACAAGTTGGTGAAAAGTATAGGCATTAAAATGTTAAACTGTGAAACGAGTACTTGATCCCGAAGGGGCACACGACTTTATGAACGATATTAATAGCTATAGGTTGGTGAAAATATAGATAATTATGTATAGTAGATGTGTGAAAAAAACGAAGCGAAAAAAACGACGTTTGGTGCCCGAAAAATCGAAAATAAGAAAAATCTGTAGCTAATCCGTAGCTACTTAGCTACAGATTAGCTACGAAATTCTAACGGAAAGCATATGCCGTAGCTAATCCGTAGGTAAATAGTATATGTAGGTATCCTGTAGTCATTCCGTAGCTAACTAGCTACGGAATAGTTACATATTAGCATCTGTAGCTATTCCGTAGCTATTCTGTTACTAAACTAGGGCATCCCATTCTGTAGCTGATCCGTAGCGATTCCGTAGCTAATTAGCTACGGAAATTTTCCGTAGCTATTTTCCGTAGGAAAACCCCATGTTTTCTAGTAGTGATTCAACTCTCATTGGAGATGGTCTTATATCGAATCTGGGCACGAACTCGATGACATTGCACACTTTCGGTGTTTCTTTTAAATTATGAAAATTGAAAAACCTTTGTAGTTTATTAAATACTTTTTGCCATTATTTTGCCATTTTATATATTTTGATGATCATTTGTACACTTTAAAGTTGGAATTTATAATTTTAAAATATAAACTACTAACCATTACTATTGGTATTACTATTGGTATTATATGTTGGGAAATTTAAAATATAAACTTATATACAATAAAGTCCCAATATTTTCATCGATTTGACAAAAAAGTCTTAAACTTTATTTTTTTGACAGTAAAGTCCAAATTACCGGCAATTTTTGACACTTTCACCCTTATTCTCCGGTTAGCTGGTAATTATGACTTTTTTGTCAAAAAAAAATAAAGTTTAGGGCTTTTTTGTCAAATCGTCAATTAGGACTTTATTGTCAAAAAAATAAAGTTTAGGACTTTCTTGTCAAATCGTTGAAAATAATAGGACTTTAGTGTATATCTCCTTTTTTTGTTAGAAATTTAATGGTAGGATACTCTTTAAGCATAAGAGTTATTAAAATATTCTCTAGTCAGCTAGATCCTATTGAAATCTTTAACATTTGCTTATTGTTAAATCGTTTTTTTAATCTCAACAAACAAACATTGAAAAAAATGGAGATAATAAAAAAGAAAGAAAGAATCAGGGTTGTGTTGGCTTTTTGCTGTCCCGAAAATGGAGAAATAAGAAACTGAACCCTGGTTCTTTCTTTCTTTCTTTCTTGATTATCTCAATTTTTTTCAATGTCGGTTTGTTAAGATTAAAAAAACGATTTAACAAGAAGCAAACGTTAATGATTTCAATAAGATCTAGCTGATTAGAGAAGGTTTTAATAACTCTTATGCTTAAAAATTTCTAACCAAAAAAATTATATATACACTAAAGTCCCTATATTTTTAACGATTTGAAAAGAAAGTCCTAAATTTATTTTTTTGACAGTAAAGTCATAATTGACGATTTGACAAGAAAGTCCTAAACTTTATTTTTTTTTACAAAAAATTCCTAATTACCGGCTAACCGGGAAAAAAAGGTAAAAGTGTCAAAAATTGCCGGTAATTTGGACTTTACTGTCAAACAAATAAAGTTTAGGACTTTCTTGTCAAATGGATGAAAATATTGAGACTTTACTGTATATATGATACAAATGGGTATTCATTATCATAAATTAATAGCATTATAAGAGATTAACGGAGACTCCAAATATTTAGGTATACATAGTTGATGGATGGTCTCCAATATACAAAAAATATACAAAGACACAAAAACATTTTATATACAACTTTACTTGATATTCATGTGATTTAATTTGGTTAAAAAATGATTGCGACATTTTTTCCCCTTAATCTATAATGTTTGCTTATTAATTGGTTTACCTAGGGCTATAAACGAATCGAACGAACACGAACGAGGCTTGTTTATGTTCGTTCATTTAAGTTAGCCGAACAAATAAACGAACATTAACTGATAAACAAACGGGTTTTCTTGCTCATGTTCGTTCGTTTAACAAATTACATTGTTCACGTTCGTTCGTTTATGTTCGTGAACATGCTAAATGAACATAAACAAACGAACATAAATGAACAAAGATAAAAAAACATAATTGAAGATATATGAACATAAATGAACATATAATACACTAATGTAATCAAACACAATTAGTCATATGTGAACATAAAATGAACTTATATGAACAAACATAAACGAACAACATAAACGAACGTTCACGAACATAATTGAACAAACGAGACCATTGTTCATGTTCGTTCGTTTAACTAAACGAACGATAATTTGTGTTCATGTTCGTTCGTTTATTAAATAAACGAACATAAACGAACTTCCCGCCGAACGGTTCATGAACAGTTCGTTGAACGTTCAGTTCGTTTACAGCCATAGGTTTACCAATAAACAAACAATTTTTTCTTATGTATTAATCACTTTTTACGAGAAACAAAAGAAAAACTAGTAATTATTGTATTAAGTTTAATTGCTATATTAATATGTATCAAACTTAATTGAATGTACAATAAACAATTAATTATCGTTTAACTGGTGAAAAATAGGTTTTCGGTCGTCCACCAAGGCTCCATGCT